CCCCCCAGGAGATAAGTACATCTACTAACCATTTCAGTGATGAAAACCTGGTGGCACTGGTTAGCAACCTCTTCGTGGCCGGCACGGAAACCACCGCCTCCACGCTGCGCTGGGCCATCCTGCTTATGATGCGCTATCCCGAGGTCCAGAGTGAGTCTCCCAGGGTTCAGCGCATTGCTTCTAGGCGCAGTCACACATGTCTTGCCCTGAATGATGAAGAATTCCACGGCTATACTGGATACTTTCTGTTCGCACCCTTGAGGACAGCTTGTACCTTTTGTTTTCTTTCAGGATAAACCAGTATATTTTGCCCTCCACGTCTGGAATTATTGGAAAATTTCACTTATATGCAGATCCCAGAGTTTCATTAAATCGGGCATGGGGGTGAAAGCAATGAAAGGGTGAAAGAGAATTCAGGAAGCTTTAGGCTTGACTTGCACCAGCAAAGAAAATGAGGAAAACTGTTGTCACGCCCCGTCCACTGCATGAACCACTTTAATTCCATTTGATACAGAAAAGGTCCGCGATGAGATCCTGTCAGTTGTGGGCTCTGCACAACCTCGAATCGCACACCGAACGCAAATGCCATACACAGATGCCGTCATTCATGAAGTGCAGAGATTTGCTAACATCCTGCCCACCAGCGTTCCTCGCGCAACAACCACAGACGTCTTATTTAAAAATTATTATATTCCAAAGGTAAGGGTTTAAGAAGGGGAGATGTGGAGAGAGGGAAAGAATGTCAATGATTCAAAAGCATTAAAATAAATGATCACAATCTTTTGTGATTTTTTTTAAAGGATTTATTTATGTGTACAGGAACTGGGGTATAAACTAGAGGTGAGGAGTGGGTGAGAGGGTTCACCAGAGACAGAGTGGGGAGTAGAACAGGCAGACTGACTGAAATACGCTGCCGAGGGGAAGCATCTTACCAGACAGGAGAGGCTGCTGTGCCATGTGGGTCACCTCCCTGGACAGGGATTACACCTGCTACAGTGGCTGTGGAAGCTTCCTAGTGCTGCACTTTAACCCCTGGTGCTAGAGGGAGGCCCAACCATTACAATCTTGGCCTGGTTTTTTTCTCTCTCCCTTTCTCACTCTCCCTGCCATGTCCTTCCCTCACCCCCCACCCCACTATACAACAAAAGGTAACTCAGGATCCATAGGTGATATGTATTCTGTGCAACTTTCAAGGCATTATTTTTTATTTTATGATTGTAAAGAATGGGGTTCAGGGAGTTTTAAACTAGGTTGGGTATAAGGAAGCCAAAATTCCAGGAAAGGTGTGCTATCTTGTGCTTTCAGCTACTCCCACGGCACTGCCACAACTCATTCAGTCCTCACATAGAAATGTGCCCCCTCCCTCCTAATTTGAAGACATCTCCATGCAGCTTGTTATGTCCACTGGTAAGCTGAGAACACATGCATAGATCGTTCCTAAAACTGAACTGGAAGGAATTCTCATTAAGCCATGCTCCATCCACTGGCCCACAGAACTTAATCTTTTCCTTAATATTTAAATTCACTGCTTCTGGACCCCTCTCTGCATGAATCCAAGGGACCAAGGGTTATGCAGACCCCTCCCTACACCATCACTTCCTACCTGTGAATATAGCAGAGGGGCCACAACCATCTGCAGAGCTTCTGTTCTCAGTGCACATGAAGCACACACACTGTTTGGCTTAAGTAAATCTGCAAGTGAAATGGAGAAACAAGTGCAATCACTGTTAAAAATTTAAAAGGGGTCCAAGCCAGAGGTGCAGGGGTGGTGAGAGGACACCAGAGACAGAGTGGGGACTAGAACAGGCAGATCAATGAAGTACACTGCTGAGGGGAGCAGTGGGTGAGACAGGAGAGGTCTGTTGCACCATGTGGGTCACCCCCTGGGTCAGGGATCAAACTTGCACTGAGGGGGCTGCCGCCAGCTCCCTAGTGCTGTGTCCTAACCCATTGCGCCACCAGAGAGGGCTCCCTTCTTCTATTTCCTTCTAGAGCTACAGCTTCTCAAAAACTGATGCCCATGATAGCCATCTCTCTTCTTTTTAGGAAGCAATTTAATCTATGTCACTAACATTTTTATTTCCAGAACACTGAAGTCATCACTTTGCTGACCTCAGTACTTCGTGATCAAACAGAGTGGGAAAAACCAGACACATTCAATCCAGAACATTTCCTCAGCTCTACTGGAAAGTTTGTCAAGAAAGAAGCTTTCATGCCTTTTTCAGTTGGTAAGATATGTTAGTTGAAAAAGAGTTTAAAAATTCTGGAGAGAGTTGGCCTTAACTTAGGACCAGAATTTGTTTTAGAACTAGGCTAAGATTTTTATATTTTCTCATGTGACACAAAACTTGAGAAATTTGGAAAAAAGGAAAGGTCAGGGATCTATGTTATCCCCCATTGGCTTCCAGTTGGCTGTAAGACAGTAGGCACTGGAAGGATGTTTAAAGGATCTTTGAAGAACCCTGTGGCTGAGATCTGAGTAGAGCCTCAGGAGTTCTAGGAAAAAAGTTAAATTTGGGCAGCCTACTCCACTCCAGTAAGAAAAGTGTTGCGCAAATATGTGCAAATACCACATATTTTTTCTCCGGTTTACATGGGAAAATATTATAAAATTTGAAATTCAGGGAACTAAATGAATTGACTCCACAACGGAATACCTAAGAACCTGAAGTGAATTCTTCATTCCTGGGGAAGAGACTTAACAAAATTGTGCACTTCACTTATACAAACAACCACTTAGCTTTAACTTTAGGTACCTCTTCCAGGCTAGAGAAACTCCAGTCCCCCTAAGAATCTGCACCACTAATAACAGAGCAACACACAAGCCACATTCATTCTAATTTGTATATGCACACAGGATAATTAGAAGAAAATGCTACATGTATTAATAACTCCTATTTTAAAATTTAAAAATAATATCTTGAACCAGAAAAGTTAAAGGAAATAAAACAATCCCCAGAGAATCTGCAGTACTATGAGATCACTTTCTCTCACTACTTCCTTAAATTATAATTTTTGAGAGTTTGAGAGAGAGAGGGAGGAGTGAAGACAGGGAGAAAAGGATGACCATGGTAATATAAAACAATAAGCTCTTTAGCCATATCTAAATGCTAAACTTTCATTCTACAAGTGAAGATGTGGGTTATATTGTTACACATAAGATTTTTCTCCAGATTCCTTTATCAGATCTTGCACTTACTGCTGATAATATTTAGAGGCAAGAAATCACATTCTCTTTGACACACCGTTTTCCTGTGAACAATAATTACATTTACTTTTTCTCTGGAACTCTGACCAGCACTGTATCCAGGCCTGCTATGATAGTTTACATTCCTGGGCTTGGAAGCCTCTTTGGTCTATGAAATAAACAACAATATTCCTGATTTTTATAAAGTGACTTATCCTTAAAGGACTTTGACCAGTTTACCACAAATGTTCTAAAGCTTTCTAGATAAACTGGGTGTTTTCAAGAATATTTTTGGTTGTAGGAAATACAGGAGAAGTAAAATTATTTTTAATCATAGATAAGCAAATGAAATTTTTTTTCTATTTAATTTTTTAACTTATGCACATGTTAGAACTTACATTATTTCAAATATTATTGTATCTTGCTGATTTGTGTTTCAGATGAAAGACTGAATTTCAGGATTCCTTGACTTACACATAAAGTGACAATTTGATTAAATGATCTAAGCATTTCAGGCAAATTTCTGAATGAAAGTTATTCTGAGAAATTTCCCATCTGGTCATCTCTAAACTTATTTGTCCAGCCACTGGAGTCAATTCCTTTTTGCCTGGTCAATATAGGACTTGTCTTCAGGTGAACAATTTTCCCTCTTTCTATGTAAAAACCCATGAGTTTATCTGAAAAATCTTTAATTTGATATTCTACTTTGCAACGATCTTTAACTTGAAGTCTTCAAAGAGACTTGTTTTAGAGGGATCACTGCATTGTTTTCAGCAAAAATGAACCGTGTGAGGGTCTTTAAACTGTGTGTTTCCTCAAAATCCCTCATGATTCCTTATAAGGATACCCTTCCCTAAATTCAGAATATTTCATCATAACATAATGGACAGGAATTCCACCCCCCAAAAGACCCCATGAACAATTTTTCTAACCATGGTATTGATGCTGTTTCAAATACTTTGGGATAATAGTAACCTTTTGACAGCTCCTTCTGACCTTTTTTATTTCATTTTTTACTATGGGAGGTGGACCAGTCCCTAGAGTGTGTGACTTGCTCTACAAAGAGGTTAGAAATGGTGGTTGTATATTCATTTCCTGAATTCATGTCAGCCGTGTATCTGCTAATGGATAATTGCATACAACTACATCTTAAGTGCCGGTCATAGCTTTGTCCATGTGAGTGGGGGTGACATAAATTTGTTATCTAAGTGATGTCCTCCACTTAGACTTGTGTCTGCTCCCTCCCTACTCTATCTCATGACCAATGTCACTCAGACAAGGATGAATTTTATTAGCTCTTGCAGGTATTTAAACTGGGCTTTATTTGTACTGAATCTAGTATTGTTGAATGATATATTCTACTTGTATAATGTGTTACATTTACTGATAGTTGAACTGTAACTTTCAGTGGGTTCTTTTAGAGCTAATTCCCCACTCTTAATTCCTCTATGAGAATAACTATACTCCAAGACTAGATTATAACAGTTTCTAAAATGGTCTTCATTCCTCCAGCTCTCCTCCTTACAAGTTAATTTAAAATATTAGTTATAAAATGCATTTGCCCAAAATGTATCTTAATTTTTTTCTAGCTAAAAGATCCTCCATGGTATCCATTCTTTTCCCTGGCTTAGAGACAGATCTGGGTAAAAAAATTCACCTCTTATTTACTAGCAATATGATCTTAACAAGTAATTTAAAATTTCTAAGACTTATTTTCACCTCTGAAAAAAATAGGTATTATAATAGTACCTATCTCATAAGACTAGTAATGGGACTAAATGTCCTTTCTTATGCACTTTTCCACAGCAGTATGTTAATAAATAACAACTGCTTCCTCAAAACTGAATGCACTAAATTATGCAGACATAAATTTGTTATCTATATCATATTTATTTATTACAAGTAAAGGATGCATAGTAAACAATTTACAAATAATATACAACATACTTAATTATAAATTCCATATATCTAATTTATTTTCACTAAATGTTTTCACTAATTTTTGCCACGTTCTTGTATGTGCAGTCAACCTGTGGTTGCAGCTGACAAATGTCGCTCTCACCTGAAAGAGAATAAGTAAATAACTTTTCCTTTTTTCTTGAACTCTGGAGTAAGGCAGACATTTCTTAAATTAAACCTTGTTCTGATAATGAAATTAATCTTTGTTTCCCTTGCAAGGTTGGCTCAGGCAGTCCCCAGAAGTATTCTTAAAATATAACCATCACAAAACTAACAATCTGAAGAAAATATTATCTTAAAATTAATTTCATGTTTCAACTATCAGCGCTATATCTGTACAAGCCCTTGTGTTCCTCTTGTATCTAAAGCACTCATTCTTCTAATTCTATCCTCAATTATTTATTACCTGCTGCATTAACATAAAGACTTTGCTGTTGGATGGATTTATTTGATGTGAATAAGTACTTTGATTGACATCAGATATGCCTATTTCTGCTAGCATTTCTTTTGAAAATAAATAAGACTACTTACCATGTCTTTATTTTTATCTATTTATCCTCAAGAATAAACTAAATGATACATATTTTGTTGATAGCAAAACTCAGCTCCCTCAACACCTTCCTAGAGTTTGTGAAACTAGGCATAGTTATCTATTGCTTAGTGAGATTCTACTACTAGGCAGTAGGCCCCTTGACAGAAATCATCTCAGATCCAAGTTCGATATCTGTATCTTATAGACAGTAAGCATATGTTTATAGATTGAATGATTAGCTCTCATTTAATAAACATTTCCAGGCAGAGACAGATAGTAACCATGGCTTTTCATCCCCAAAATTCTGTCTTGTTACTTACGATAGTGAAAAACACGTTCTTCTGTTTGTGGAGTCAGTCTGTTCCCTAGAAATTTATATAAACCAGTGTTCATTTAGGCTACATCCTCTGTGTAACATTTGAATATCTTTTCCCAGACTTCTGTGACCCAGTAGACTTGTGAATTATCTTCCCAATTAAATAAACAAAAAACAATGTAATAGACTAGTTACATTTGGCACAGTTTGTAAAGCAATGCAGCAGGTTTAAGATTTATAGACTCCAGAAGTAGTATTAAAATACCTGGTTAGGGCTTCTGAAACACTGGAGGCAAAACCTTCTAGTAAAGCTACATTTCAATAAAATATACTATCTTTGCTCTATAACACAAATACAAGACTCATTAACTATAAGATGGAAAAAAATAGCTCATTCTTAGCAGTATGTTTTAATGGTAAGGCTTCAGTTGTCGTAACAAAAATCCACTTTGAAGATTTCCTTCTTCAATTTAACTGACTCCACTTTTAGTTATCTTGATCCTCTCCTCAACAATCATGATTCAAAGATAATACTAACACATCTTTCGTAAAAGTTTCAGCACAATGTTGGCTCTATAACTTCCTCGGGATCAGGTCTGAGACTCCCTATTCTATGCTCTAGCCAGAATCAAATTTTTTTTCAGTCCTCAAATACATTCCAGCCCTTCCACATCTTCTCCCATCTAAGCAAACTAACTTCTGCTCACCCTTTGTGCGAGAACATAGATATAAAGTTCTCATGCATACAGACAGCAAGTCTTCTCTGGCTCCCCACTTCATTAAGTACCTTTCCTATATGTACTCATGACACAGTTAGCTTTACCTGTCAGCATTTTCACATCAAAATGGTAATGTTTAATTGCTTGCCTCCCTTATGGGAGCTTAAAGATAGAACTGACTTATATACTCAGTTTTGTGTTTCTAATATTTAAACTCAGAGACAGAGCCCCTTCAAAAGAGATGATCACTTTTTTTTTTTTTTGGGAAGAGTTAATTTTATTTATTTATGCATACAAGAACTGGAGTGTAGGCCAGAAACATGGGTGTGAGTGTGGGGAGCAGAACAGGCATATATCTACTAAAATACATTGCTGAGGGGAGCAGCGGGTAAGACAGGAGAGGTCTGCTGCACCATGTGAGTTAGCTCTCTGGCTGGAAATTGAATTTATGCTGCAGTGATTGGCCATAGCTTGATAATGCTGAGTGCTGAGATTTAACCCCTGGGCCACCAGGAGCCCACCTGGAATGATAAATTTTCACACATTCTGAAGTAGAAAAAATCATACCTGAATGGGTTTTATCTTTGTTGAGATAGTTTCAGATTTTAATGCCCATACACCTTCTCACCCTTCACTATATTCACCTCTCCAGGTCGCCGGATGTGTGCTGGTGAGTCACTGGCCAAGATGGAACTTTTCCTTTTCTTCACAAGCCTCATGCAGAAGTTCACCTTCCAGCCACCCCCTGGGGTCTCCCATCTGGACCTGGACCTAACCCCAGATATTGGTTTCACCACTCGACCCATGCCTCACAAGATACGTGCTTTGTTCTAGGCCTAGGCTCTGCTTGAGAGTTGCAGCCCTGATTCTTGATCATATTTTGTAGCTGAGCACATACTTCCCATTTCTCCATTTCATGGATCATTATATTCTGTTGAGCATTTCAGCATTAAGTAGTCAGTCCCATCACTGTAGAGGGTTCTCATGGCAGATCACATAAGTCCCTGTGCTAGTCATTGTACTAGAGACCTCCTCACTGCGATTCCCTAAGGTGAAGCAAATGAACAGAAATTTGATTAAATAGAACCTTCACAGGCATATGAGATGGGCCTAAGTATCACCCATAAATAGTTCTAACTGGCCAGGTTGGGGAAGGGGACACATATGATGTTGTGCCCTAGGAAGTCCATGCACAGCTTCAAAGCTGCATTGAAAAAAAGTTTAACACTTACATGAAGATAACAGTATTCTAGGAATAGCCAAAAAAGGATGTTTAATAACAGATAGTTGCTTGTGTATACAGCTAGGTAACTTAGCTGGACAGTGAAGTTTCCTGCTCTGGACTTAACTGGAGTTGAAAGGCCCCACATTTCTGTGTTCAGTGCTCTCAAATTCCAGAAAAGCTCTATGCAAGAACTCTGTCGTAAAATAAAGAAATAATTGTCAGTTCTCCTGAAACTAGAGCATCTTTAAGCCTTTCTGATGTAAAATGTACTTCATCATCAATATAAATACTACTCCCTTGCACTCATTTGACCTTTGTTAAAGCAAAAATTACTCTGGGTGAAGTTAAGCAGTCAAGGAAGGCATTATTGAAGGCTATTAAAATTGGGAAGAGAGGCCAGAATTTGTTCTGAACTCAGCTCTGCAGTAATAACATGAGGAAGTTTTTCAATGCTGAGGTGAGCTCATGGAAAAGCACTGGAGGATGTTAGTGGTGAGGCTGAGCAGTGGCATACATCTAGCTGGCTGAGTTACTTCCTAATTTTAAATTGTTTTTCCTCTGTGACTAGAACACTTATCTGTGTTTGCTAATTAGTGTTCATTGAAGTGAGGCTCCATCCTCCCACAGAGACTTGGAGATAGGGTGCTATCTTCTTTGATGACATTTCAAAAGGATGACTCACAGATCCTTGAGAAAGATAATCCTGGATTATAAAATTGATTTTTATAAAATTGAGCTTTTATAAAAAGATTTTAAAAATAGATTTACATCTCAAAGGGGCAGAGAAACCTTTTATAACTGAAAGTTTTCTCAAGGAAAGGGAGGTCATCCGTGGTGGCGTAGGGATTCTCAGAACTATTAAGCTATCACCAGCCACTGCAGCATGAATCCTATCCTTGGTCAGGGAGCTAACCCAGTTGGCTCAGCAGAACTCTCCTGTCTCTCCCACTGTTCCTCTCAGCAGAGTATTTCAGTATATCTGCCTGTTCTGCTTCCCACTCTGTCTCTAGTGAATATTCTCATCCTCCACCCACCCCCTCATCCCCTGTGGCCTACATCTTATTTCTTGTATGTATAAATAAATATAAATAAATCTAAGGAAAGAAAAATGAAAAAGGAGGTCAGGACAAACCATTTTTTTTTTAGTCAAACTGAGAGGAATATTAGTTCGTGGTCATCCCCAAGAAAGCATTTTCCAAAAAATCTTTTTAGAACTAGTTTAATGTAGAATAATCAGGTTCCCAGACTATTAAGTTAAACTAAACAAAACTGCATATGATAAAGAAATGGGGCCTATTTATTTAAACTTAGTAATTGAACACATTAAGGAAGTTTCATGAGTTGCACTCTGTTAATAATTGGTATTCAACAACATATCAGTTAATTCTAAATCCACAGTTAATTAATAGGAGGGTTCTCTTACACAGGAAGTAATAGAAACAGTTTTGATTAGACATCAGAAAATCTGATTTTCAGTTCAAATTCTTCCAAACTTCCATTTTTATGTCTTCATGGCTGCATGTCAACAGCGATATAATTAGCAAATTGATACCAGGAGCAAGAAGTTTTTAGCACTAATATGACAAAATAACATTTGGTAATAGTCATAAAACAAATAATAATTTTAATCTTTTGGTTAGTCTGATATAATGATAATTTATGTAACTAATTTCCAAGTAAACAAAAATCGAAAATTCTACCAAAGAAACAGAAAAGCTGCTAAATTATATTCTACTAGTGTGATGCTTTATTGCCTTGCTTCTCTTTAGTTTTGAAATGGACAATTACTTTCTTGCTAAATAAAATATTCAGATCCAGTAAAATAATTCATGTGTAATATAAATTATTATTTCTCAAGCAAAAAATGTTACATTTGCTCTTTCCCAATTTTTAAGTTTACACATAGTAAATCACATGAAGTAACTCAAGTGCTTTCTAAAAAAAAAATTACAATTGTTATTATTTATCTGAAATCTACTCTTGAAATATAGAAACTAGAGATAGAAAATACACTCCAAGAGACTTTGAAAATTTTTGAATCTTTAGGGATTTAATCTCATGTACATTTGTGAGAGACAGAGAAAATATAGAGGTATTAAAGAAACACTTACTGTTTGTCTAAAGTTTTTTTAAATAACTTTCCACAGAAAACTTTAATGTATTATTCAAAGTTTATGGATTTATTATTGAAATTCAAACTGTAATCAAATTTTTTTTTAGAATTTTAATCAATTACAGTTTTTTTCTTTTCCCAGAGAGAACAATTTTATCACTAAACATATGATATGGTGGTGATAAAAAAGCAAAAAAAAAAAAAATTTAGTCAAGCTGTATCATTGTTTTAAAATCTCTAAACATACCATACTTATTGATTATCCCTGGGATAAATTCTGCCTTAGCATAGCACAGAAAATAAGTCATAGAATCTTCCTTTTTTTATTCCACCATTTTGATAGTAAGATTTCATTTCTAAGTTTGTAGCTTTTCTACCCAGTTATGTTAGGATAGAGAAAAGGTATAGCCTGAAACTTAAAACTCCAGGGTTCTGGGTTAACATTGAAGCTGGCTTGAGATGCCTGTGGACAGCATCTTGGCTTCTCTGAGGTATGGAGGCCCGTTGTCAGACAATCCTTAAGAACCCAACTGAGTCTAAAACCCTCCCTAAAAGTAGTCTTAATTTGGTAAAATATTATCTGGTGCTCCTTATATCAACCTACATCTTTCCTAAGTAAGATGGATTCAAGATACTCAAATGTACTACTAACTTTTCTGTGAAGCTAGCTGGCAAAAAAAGCTCAGGGCCCTCCCTGGTGGCACAGCGGGTTAGGATGCAGCAAGCTAGCAGCAACTGCTTCAGTGAGCCCGGAGGTGACCCACATGGCGTAGCAGACCTCTCCTGTCTCACCTGCTGCTCCCCTCAGCAGTGCACTTCGTCAGTCTGCCTGTTCTGCTCCCCATTCTGTCTTTCTGTCTCTGGTAAACCCTATCACTATTCCTGCATCTCTGGCTTGTACCCTAGTTCTGTATGCATAAATAATCTTTTTTAAAAAATCAAAATAAGCTCAAAATCACAAAATATATTTGGAAATAGGACATGTGCCTAAAGATGAACACATGAGTCAGCTTTAGCACTCAGAATTTTGAACCTGGGGCAGCTGTCCAACAACCCAGTGTTAAGATTAGGTTTATGCACTAAAAACCTTAGTAATCACTGGCTTATTATGCCCAAGTGGACTCTACACTGTTCTGTTTACTCTGTGAGGTGGCACCCATTCATTAAAAAGAATGTTGGTGCTACAAGTCAGGAATGACTTTTATTAAAGTATATTTCACTCCATAAAGAAATTACTAACAATGCTGTATTCTGCATTTTTTTTTTCAAAGATTTATTTATTTGTGCACACAGAACTGGGCTACAAGCCATAGGCTCAGGGATGGCGAGAGGCTTTACCAGAGACAGAGTGGGGGGCAGAACAGGCAGATCGGCAGATCGAGGAAGTACACTGCTGAAGAGAGCAGCGGCCGGTAGGGTCAGGAGAGGTCTACAGCACCATGTGGTCACCTCCGGGGCAGGCGGAAATCGAACTCATGCGAAAGTGGCTTTAGCTTCTTAGTGCAGTGCTTTAACCGGCTGCTCCACCAGGGAGGGTCTCTGCATATTTCTATGAAATAAATATAATGTATTTTTTTTCTAAAAAAAAAGAAAAAGAAAAAAAACAGTTCTGTGATTGGATGTTACAGAATTCTGTTGACTGGGTCATCTAGTCTGTCTTCAAGGGTGTACTAAGATTCACTAGAGGCTGAATGTATAAATGGTCACTAGTTAGAGCATGTGGTAACACAGGAAATAGGTGTGTGTGTGTGTGTGTGTGTTAGTAAAACCCACTGTTTTTGTTTTGATGTTGTTTATCTTCTGTTTTTACTAGTGAAAGATTAGACTAAAGTCAGCTAGGATAAAAAGGAAAACAGATACTACAACACTAATAACAATAGTTAATTTCAAATATTTATTGCATGCCAGGCACTGCTTATAGTATTATTAACTTACTCAAAGGAAAAAACCCTATGAAATTAATACTACTTAGATTGTATTGAACACTGACCTGTACAACCTTTGGAACAATTACCCAAAGAAACCAAATCACAGTCTCTGTGGCTATTAGCCCAGTAAGAAAAGGACTTGACCAAGGACTGTTAGCTTCACTATTTTTCTTTTTGCACACTTCCAACTCAGGACTCACTAGAGGAAGCCCTAAACTAATCATATGAATAGACTCTCTGTGTAGCCAGCCCTCCAGACTTTCCCCATGTTAATTAGCTTCTAATCAGAGCTTACAAGAAACCTTATTTTTTTTCATTATTGTCAAAGAAAACGGTGACAGTTAAACAGGCAAAGAAGACTAGTACAATAGGAAAGAAGGAATGAATGCAAGTATTTTTAAACAATAGGCAAGAAAAGGCTTTAAGCACTGGGGTGAGCTAGTTTAAGATTACTTGAGACCATCAAAATGGTCAAGTTAGTTGTGTTTGCTAATTGATACTTATTAAGATAGACCACTGTCTTTCTTATGATTATATTTCCAAAAGACAGAACTTTACTTTTCCAACATGCAGAGTATAATAACTATAACTATATATATACCTATATATAGATATATTTTTTTTATCTGCAAGTTTTCTAAAGTTAAAGCTCTAAGAAAAGGGAGGTTAGGAAGAAACCAGTCTCAAGTTCAGAGATGCTGAGGACAATGTTAAGTTCAACTTGGTCATTGTAAACCTTTCTCATTGCTTTGCCTGCTTTTGCTTCCCTACTAAACACAAGAGATGCTGGCTGAGTCCCTTCCTTTACCAAGGAAGGCTATTTTTGTGAAGGCTATGATCTCGTAAAAGTATTAATTCTGTTTTACAGACAGAAACCTGAGTTTGTGCTTAAAGTTAATTCCTTATTTTTGAAAGTAACTGAGTCTTATGTTTTGTTGGTAACTATTAGCTCAGTAGTGCCTAAGAACTTATTATCATTCCTGATTATTTCCAAAGTGAACTGGACAATTTTTTTCTTATCTTCATCTAGAGAAGTAAAAGATTCGCCCTCCTTAATTAAAGAGCAAAGTACTGACTGGAGTTATAAAGATTCAGCCTTCAAACATCCCCACCTCAGTTTTCTTATCTGAATTAGTTGATTAAAATACAGACTCCACTTCTCTCCACCCCCTCACAGTTCAAGTGGTTTACAAATCCTGACTCAGTCTGTAAAGGTATTACTATTGTGCTTTCTGTAAGGAATCCCTGCTTTTTCCCTTAAGGGGTTTTAAGTACAGATTGTTTCTTAGATAATAAAAAGATCATTGAATAGTATCTGAACAGTTTCTGAAAGAGTTTGAATTCCAGTAGTCAATCAATATTTCCTTAGGAAAAACTTCAGATTAGCCTTTTTTAAAAAAAAAAAAGTTGAAGCCTTTTACAGAGCTTTGCTAAATCACAATACGCACCATATTTCATTTCTCAGAATTTCTAAATATTTTCAAATTTCTACGAAATATTATCTCCACACGATTGCTAACAGTTAATGAACAGTTAATATAGAAAAAATAAAATCATTTCAGTTTTTGTAAATGACAAAGTAGGATACAGATCTCAATAAGGTGTATATGGTCAATGCTTCTCAGCCTAAAAAGTCAAAATTCAATTTATAAAAAAATGCAATTTTTTTTGGCTATAGACTCTCTATATAAAATAACCTTAGAAATGCTTAGGCTGTTGTTTAACATATCACACCTTGAATAACATCAGTAGGAGCTAGAGCTAATTTACATAAAGATAGTGCTCAGATTTTACACAGGCATGTTTTGCTGAACAGCAGACGACATTTACAACAGTGGTCCAAAAACTCTTTGCCCAGTGAAGACATAGCCATCATCACATCACAGCATTTTATGGGGGGGTTGGGGTGGCAGCATCATACCTCTCATATTTGTCATGTATCATAATAGGAACATCTCCCCTTGCGCTTGATTTAATCTTGTATTTTGTTCGTGACCCCTAAGCATACAAAATCCACTGCTAATGTGTTCATATAAGGGCAAAATCACCTGACTGACTGCACATCTCAGTACTTGTTTCAGTTGTTGAGCAGCATATGAATATACATAATTTATGTTCAGGATACAGTATATATGTGTGTACATACATAACTAAAAGAAAAAAAATAAATAAAACCAGCCTTGAAACATACCATATATTTAAAGACACTTGGGGTCGTGGGTTTTTCTTTTACTTCATTTTTCTTTTTCCTCACAAAACAGTATTTCCTCAACTGTGTCTGCAGTGAATGTAACTTTTTCTTTCAGTAGAATGCCTTTTCTTTATTTCTCCTCCAGTGTCCTTCAAGGACACTGTGAATTGGAAAAAAAGAGTCCCAGTCTCCTCACTCCGGGTCTGCTTGAATCAGATAAACCTGTGAAGCAAATTCAACAGCACTTCAACTTATTTTCATACCCGGAGACATCTGTTTAAAGGACATCTGTAAGCATATTATAGGCAATTAATAGGGAGGCTGGATGCTTTTAAATTTTTTTTTTTTACTGAAAAAAGATAAAATTAACCCAAAGATATTTGGAATAAAGGCATTAAACTGAGTTAAATATAGAACTTTTTGACAGAATGGAGATAAAATGAACACAAGTAAGATCTCTTCTGCTTTTCTAAGATTATTCAGCATCAGATTTATTATCCTTGAGGGAAAATAAACTAACCTGACAGGTCCTAAAGAAAGTACTCAAAGCTCTTACATGCCATGAAGAATTAGCAGTCTCTGGAATCTCTTCAAAGGCTGTCAACTGAGGTACATGTTAAGCATTTGAGCCATAGTAAGACTCTTGATCACAATTCATGGCTTTTCTAAGTAATTTAAGAGATGTACTTACTATTAAACATTGGAAAATACCAGAAATAAATCTTTCAGAAATGCAAACATTGGAAAATACCAGAAATAAATCTTTCAGAAATGCAAAAATACAATAATTAAAAACTACTGATTTGGATTCCACAGGACTTGTGTTGCATGCCTTCAGTTGTTTTTTTAATAAATTTAAGACTGAAACCTGGTTAGGATGAAAAATGAACAGAACAATCATACTAGTAATAGTACTGGCTAACTTTGAGCATCTATATGCCAACCATTGTGCTGCGGGTTTTTCTCCTTATCTTAATCCTAGGGGAAAAAACCCCTATGAGCTTGAGAGTAGATATTATCTCTATTTAACAAAGAGCACAGAAGGATATAAAGATTAAGCACTTCCTCAAAGTCACAGAACTGGAGCTGGTTTTGAATCCATGAGGATGAACTCTAGAGTTGCCTGCAGACAGGCAACTGAAAGCTGCTACTAATTACCAGCATTATTACAGTGCTTTTCTTGTTGAAGCATTAAGTACACAATCACCTGTGGCATGGAACAGTGCACTACTAAGTGTGTTGTCAGATATGGAATTGTCAAGAAGTCTTACCTCACATAGCAAAGCAGAACTTTTGAAAGAAAATGGAATTTATTTTATGGGGGCCTATATTACAATCTTGTCTACCGATCAACCAGCTGTGAACAGAGATAAGTGTAGGTGCTTAATTCCTCTCCAGAGAGGTATCACAGGGAGGTATCAGAAGTGCTAGTGGGAATTCTTCAGGCCATGAAGGACTCAAAAGTATCAAGGTGATTCTCCACTTTTCATAAACATTAGTCAGAAAACCTGAGATGTTCTCAGTCATCTTTTCATACTACACACATAAGTGTTTCTAAAGATGATTCTTTAGGAGAATGATAAGCATATTCATATCAACTTAGTTATAATGTGCAATTACTACACAAATTGTGCGGTAAGTGGCATGTATTGCCTATGTAAGCCGCATGGGCTGTAGGTCTAGGCTGGTTTATGTAGAAAACAAGGACATATCTTACCTATCTTGTCTGCTAGGAGGCAAAAAGTGAATCAGAGGTATCTGAGGGCATTTCAGTTCTAAATTGAAAATATGAGAGAGAGTCTTGCTTGTTTTAATAGTAACCAAATACTCCTTCAGCAGTGTCAGAGTCATGCAGTTCACTTCCTGAGGGAGTGTTTTGTTCCAAACCAGGTTATACAATTAAAGAATTAATAAAAATGATGTTTAATAAAATAAGAAAATAAAATAAGTTGTTGCGAATAAAAGTTGTCACTTTAACAGGATTGGGGGAGATGTACTTTTACTCCATCTTGACCACAAAAATTTTTAATAAAGAACTGTGGGCAAAAATAAGATGCACATTATTTTGATAGAAAACTATTCATTTCTATCTATCTTTGGACCAAAAGATTAATCTATGCAATATTTTAAGCATTAAGATAATCTAAAATTTTATAGTAACAATTTTTTAAAAATTGTATTAAATTAGACATTTTAGGGTAAAGCTGTTTTAAATGGCATTTCATCTTCAAAGCTCAGCATGTTTCTTCTTTTCCTAGATCCTCGCTTTTCTTTTTAACTTCTCATATAGAAAAAGAAAAGAAAATTATAGCCCTCCTTGGTGGCACAAGGGGTTGAAACAAAGCACTATGAAGCTATCCAGTCACTGCAGCACAAGTTCTATCCCGGGCCAGGGAGGTGATCCACATGGTGCACCAGAAATCCTGTCTGGCCCCAGTGCTCCCCTCAGCAGTATATTTCAGTAGATTCCCCTGTTCTGCTCCCACTGTCTCTGGTAAATCCTTTCATATTCCATACCTCTGGCCTGTACCCCAGTTCTTATATGCATAAATAAATCTAATAAAAAAAAGAAAAAACACATGCACATCAACTGAGCAAAAGGAAGATATTTTGTTTTCTTGTCACTTTATTTTAATTTTAATTGTCTACATTTCTTTTTCAGCTTTTAAAACAAGCCTCTCCCTTTACACCTAACTCCCTGAGCAGAGAGCAGATCTCAAACTTCATTTTTGCTTTTAGGTCTTAAAGAGAAAGGGGGAGGCGGCGAAGCAGTCAGTAGGTATTGCAAAATAAGAATTAACAACTGTTTTCCAATTCCAAAATTCCCACATTCTGCCAATTAGAAAAATACCTTTTCTTCTCTTCCTTTGATTGACATAGGTCCCAGGCCATCACAGTATTTAAGCCATAAAGGAGGTATTATGTTGCTTAGAATTCCTCAGTTTGTATTGGGTGCCATCTGCCCCAGAAACACAGAGCCAGTTTCTTTAAAGCGTCTTGCTTTTGGTTAATTACAGGTTGGAATTCCCGGAAGAACATTTTCATTCAGCAGCCAGGAATCTTCCCGCGGCTCCAATTTTCGGTGTAATATCCTCGGGGAATCAATTCCTTGGAAACGGCGAAAACGATGCCCCTCTGCAGCGCGAAAACTGAGCGCCTCTCTTCTGGGCCCGGAGTCCGGGGTTCTCCAGGGGTCCCCGGCGCCCCACAACCTGCATCACTCTCTGTTTGTCCGAAAAGTGATCGCGGTCATGGAACGCTCCTCAGTCCGTGTGGTCATTTGACTGTTCGTCCACGCGGTCTGCAGCACTTCTTGTGTCACCTGATAATCCACGACCCGCACCAGCACGGATTTGGGTGGGGCTGCGGGGTCCCGCGGCGGGGCTCCAGCGGCAGCCTCTGCTCGGGTACCAGAATTTCGCCGTCTTCGTGGACAGAGAGGGGACCCACACTCCGACTCCCAATCGTCTCCTTCCATCTGGGAAACGTGCTCCCCGCCGGCCATCTCCTCCCCAGTAGGGCCCTTTTCAGTCCCCAAGCACCTCTCTGGGTGCAAAAGAAACAGCACTTTGTCTCTGACCCAGGACTCACGGCTCGGGTTCTTTCTGGATCCGCAGTCCTCGAGGGCGTCACTCCAGCTTTCGCTCGCCTCGGCCGCTGTGGAATTCGGGGTGCCTGCGGCCAGCGGGGCACTGCGCCCCACCTCACCCTCAAAGGACCGAGAAAGCCCTAGGGATCGCCCTAGGCTGTAGGGGTGGTCTGTGAAATTAGCAGCTCGGTGGGCCCCGAGTGCCCCCATCCTGGTGGGCGGGTCATTCATTCGTGGATTCTTTCTAGATAATGGCAGCAAAACTCCCGCTGAGGTCGCGAAAACGCGGGACGGGCAGTTCCTGGGTGTGGTCTCAGAGCCTCGCCCGACTGCCCGCTGGCGAAAGGAGGAAACACGCTCGCACCTAGCCCAGCTGGGACTGAACCCCGCCTCCTCTCCCTGCGCTCTTCTTTCCGCCTAGTTCACCTCGCGGCTTTCTAGCCTTTTAAAGACAAAAGACCCCACATTTGTCCCACCCCCAGTCGCAGCTTTTATCCTTACCCCTGGTCGCGCGAGCCCTACTGCCCTAGTCGGATTCCTACCTTTCTTCTCAGCTCTGTCCTAGTTTCCATTCCATCTCTGGTCTTTCTCCAGAGCTGAGCCGCTAGACACCTTTGCACTTCGCCCTGGTAAAATACCCGGGACAAAGAATGTCTCTCCCGGCTCACTCCTCTCAATGGAGGAACAAGGAAATTGTGTTGCAAAGAGTTTGTGTCCACTCTAAATTCATCCCCAACTTTTGTCAAGATTATCGAATGTGAATCAGAATTAGCTAGTAAACTTAAATCTGAGAAACTGGCTTTGGCTTGTTTGTTCTTCCTTTGCAATGCTGGGAAGTGTAGGGCTTTGGTGACACCATCAATGCTCATTCCAGTTTAGAGAGTTTTTTTTTATTAGTATAATAGTTTATTTTTACATCATTTTGTGCCTTTTTCCATCTCAATTGTAATCCCCGTGTCAGTTTAGAGATTTTTTTTATTTAAAACAAGAAGTCAAAAAAAAAAAAAAAAAAAGCAAACAACAACCAAACTAATAAACTTCTTCAGAATGTAAAATTCAGTTTGTGTTAATATTGTGTGTGTATGTGTGTGTGTTTCACTTTTCTCTCCTCCCTAACCCTACCTCTTCTTTAATTCTAGAAGTTAAGGAAACATATATCTTTGGGCAGACTAAATCTACTCAGTCAGGCCCGCTGATACATTAATCTTTGCCTGAGGTTAATGGGGAAATCAAACTAAAAAGAGGAACTTGGTTTGTGATTTCCAGCCCAATCTAGGAAATTCCTGCTTGTTACAGTTTTTTTTTTCCTGCCTGATTTAGAAAAATAGTTACAATGGTGGAAATTTCTGCCTATATATGAAATCCAGTGAAAGAGAAACTTTGGAAAGAGAGGGCCTTCTGATATCTGCCAGGTCATACAACTAAAGGAGGAGCGAAAAAACTTGAGTCAGATCTGGCTGATTCCATGCCTGATCTTGCACTGGTGATGGCTAAATCACGATTTAACTAGAGTTTTGGAGTGTTTTAGACAAAAATTGTTGCAATTAACTTATATATTTCAACATTCATCACAACAAACCAAAGAACTAGTACTCTCTGAAAACTTTAAAGAACAGGGAGGTTAACTGTCCAAGGTCAAGCAATGGAGCCAGAATTCTTACATGTTTAAAAACTTGCTCTGTTTTCACATAACTTCCTATTTTAAACCTGTGACCTCATGTTTTCTTTCTGTTAATTACTGAATTTGTGCTAAGTGTCATCATTGTTACAGATGTTGGGGACTTAAGAATGAACATGCCAAAATGCTTGAGTCTTGAAGTTTGCATTCTTTACTCTATAAGTCCTCACTTAACATTGACCACAGGTTCTTAGAAATTGCTACCTTAGGGGAATCAGTATAATAAGGATGGCAGGTCCTCACCACCTTTTCATCCAGTGTTGGTGGGGATTTTTTTTTTTCCCTCAGCAATGTTGAAATGAAGTGGCATTAAATAAAATTATGTTATACAAGAACCTACTATATTCAAAGCCTTGATGAATTATACATCAATGATAAATTTAATGGACATGAAAATCGCCTGCAGATGAATGCTATACCCTGCACTCAAAGATTCTGTTCTTAGCAACTGGGGATAGTGTTTTCAATATGAACTTTCAGCAAACCCTTCAGTAATTCTCAGTAATAGTGGTTTGTGGACAATATGAGAAACCTCACCAAAAATATACATAAACTCTAGGTCTTTTTCTACATTCAAGTGGCAGAAAGAATACTACCTTCTTTACAGGAATCTTGGGAGAATTCCAATGTAGGTGTCTGTGTTCTGAGAAAAGCTTAATATTAAACACAATTTTCATTGCTTTCAAATAGTTTTCTTGCCATTGGGTCTTTGACAAATTAGATGGGGCTGAGGATGAGGAAAACTACTTGCTGAGAAATGAGATAGACTCACGATCATATAGCACCTGAATTTCTATGTCAAGATGTCAAAATATTGTCTATTGTGATAAAAGAACATTAACAGGAAACTTCAATAGGTAAAATTTTAAAGAGGTAAAAAATAAAAAGAATATAAACTGAAGAAACAGATAGCTTGCTCCTAGATTAATGGTGTCTGCTGTGCTTTATTATCTCAAATTACCTAAAAGACTGATAAAGGGTCCTTAAGTGAACTCATTTACTTCCTCTCTGAATTTTCTATTACAGTTTCAAATATGTAAATTAATGAGGGGGGTAAAAAATATATATCTCTGGGGTCTGAAAAGTGATGGAAGACATTATGGTGGTAGGGTCAGCATCCAAGAGACCAGAGCTCTCAAGTAGCCTATTAGACTCAGAAGTTATTTATATACTTATGATTTTGTATCATTCTCAGTTGTTCTAGCATCTCTGCTTTTAGAAAACACAAGTATAATTTATAACCATAATTTTTTATCAGATCTAGAATTCTTGAGTTGAAAAATTGGTCTGGTAAATAATTTTTTACTTGTGAGAAAGTAAAATAAGCCTCATTGTCAACCAGGCCATGAATGGTCCCAGCTGAGCATTATCAGCATCCACAGAATATAAACATTGTCTGTGTTAAGCACACACTGACCAGAAGTAAGACAACTTGAGAATCACAGAAAAGCATGACGGATCTTCTCAATGACCAATATTGAGACTACTACTGATTTAATCATGAATCTTCTGTTCCTGTTTTAATTCTCTCATTTCCTACCCAACAATGGCCAAGTTACCCTTTCTCTAATTTGCCCCACTTCTTCACAATATCTACTCCAACAAGGGCAGAAATAAACAATCTGTGGGCAGATGCTTGAAAACACCATTGGCAGCTTGCCTCTGGGAATATTCCAGAGAGGGCTGCTATCTCCACTGTGATTGGAGAATGAAGACAACACATGACATAGATCTGCAGCAGGTGATTTGTATTCTGGGAAAGAAACTTTTGTTATTGTAATTTGGGGATTGTTTCTTACCTAAGTCTAATTAGTAAATAATATTTCTGTTCAACTTTCTACTGGACATGACTGCTGAACATTCCACAGTAACTGCACCCAAAATGCCTAAAAAGCTAAACCCATTATTTATTTTCTTCAATCTCTCCTCTTTATGTGTTTCTTATCTCAAGAATTAGCATGACTAGCAAGTGAGTGAGTGTGTGCATGTACACACATGTAATTTTCTGTCCCTCTTTCGGTCCCTCTCTGATCCTTGCAACTCCAAAAAAACATAAAGTCAGATTCGTAGCATGGTATAAGATCTTCAAAATTGTACTCTTGCCTCTCACAGTATATGGTTGAATGAATAAATAAAAGAAGGTATGAACAAGCCACCTCCATGTACACAAAATGCAGATTTGAGAAAAGTGTGAATTATTCTATATACAATAAGTCCAGCCTGAGTATAAATATACCTTGACAATTATGAGTCTTCTAACAAAGATTTTAATCATAATTTCTTTGACAACAAAGGAGAAGTCTGACTGTGCAAAGAAAATCAACTGTGGACTGAGTCAGGAGACTTGGATGAGCAATGTTATCTTGGGCAAGTCTCCCTATGTCTAAACTGATGTTCTCATCTGCAAGGTATAAATAATTCCTGTCCTGCCTGATTCTCAGGGTGGTTGTTTAGACTAAATGAAACAGTTCTTTTGTAATGTTGAGAGTTGGGAAGACTTCAAAATACTTTTTAACTTCATTTTTAAAAGTTTGTAATTTGTAGCTGAAAACCAAAACATTGCTTTTTAATGACACCCTCAGGGAATGAGGCAGAAGTCAAGTCCTTGAGTTAGGAAACAAGACCCAAACTCATAATTTTGAGATAGAAGGGCAAAGTTTGTAATTACAAATTGGGAAAGAAAGATGAGAAAGGCGAGCATGACAATTCTGTGACTATCAAGCATCTTAGCACAGAGGTCTGAGATAAGATTAAATAGGCATTTAAAAAAAATATTTTTAAAAAATATGTACAGAACTGGGGTACAGGCCAGAGGTGCAGGGGAGGCGAGAGAATTCACCAGAAACAGAGTGGAGAGAACAGGCAGATTAAAGAAGTACACTGCCTAGGGGAGCAGAGGGCTAGCAGGAGAGGTCTGCTGCTTCCTGTGGCTCAGTTCCAGGGCTAGAATCAAATTCCAACAGAAGCTGCTGCTGCTGGCTTACAGAGCTGTGCTTTAACTGTTCAGCCCTCTAGGGAGGGCCTAAATAGGCATTTTTTTTTTTTAAGCAATCTTTGTCTTAAATTTTGAGCAGCAAATTTATGTATTTCTGTGAAGAAAGAAAAATATCTAGTTTACCTAACCTATGACCCTAAGATTTATTTGCTAAACATTTTTTAAAAAAGATTTATTTATTTGTGCATTCAAGAGCTAGGGTCAGGCATGTGGGGTGAGAGGATTCATAAGAATCAGAGTAGGGTTAACAGAACAGTCAGATATACTGAAATACACTGCTGTGGGGAGCAGTGGGCAGGTCAGGAGAGTTCTGCCACACCATGTGGGTCAGCTCCCTGACCCGGGATCAAACTCACCCTGCAGTGGGTAGGGATAACTACACAGTACTGTGTTTTAATTCACTGCACCACCCAACTTGTATTTTTAAATGAAACATTTTAGTATGTTTTCACTCCATTGGAGAGACTTGATGACCTTTAAATGAAGTTGGCTAGACACTGAATTCTGAGATTAAAAGACAACCCTAGTTAAGTTTTGCTACTTAAAGGCAATGACTGACTCATTAGCACTTCAAGTAGTATACCTGCTTAAATGAGATTTTAAAAGCATAATTTAATGCCAGAGTTCTGAATTATCCAGAGTTTTCAAGTACACTCATCATCAA